GAATTGATCATAATCTGTATATTTATTGTCCTCTAATAATGAAAATTCTTTATTCATGACTTGTTTATCTATTAGTATTTCACAGTCTGCCTGTTCCATACTTTGCGTTTCCAATCCATTTTTTCCTTGATTGTGACTCTTGGCTGAATCAGATTTAGATTTCATTTCTGGAAAAGTTGGTGGTTGCTGATTAATTTCCATTGTTTCTGAGTTTGACTTTTTCTCTGTTTCAGTGGCTGCTGTCTTTTTCACTTCAACTTTCTTGCTTGTATTACTACTTTTGCTGGATTCTAGCTCTGCAATCACAATTTCGTTCTTTATCTTTTTAGTTCCTGGACATTTCAATTGGCTTTTTCCTATAAACATGATATGTGGAGCTGTAACTTTTCCTTGATTCTTTCTCCAGTAGCACAGTGAACAATCTAGAGTAGGAATACCTTCTGAATCTATTTTAACTGAATTAGTTTTTGCAAACAACTATCTTTTCTTGTCTTTTAACATCTGTTTCCCAACACAGTGTTTTACAATATGTCCGAATGCTTTACAGAAGTGGCACTTTTTAAGGTTATTCTTTTGTTTATTTTGCCACTTTTTATTGACCAAGTCTTCAATATAACTTGAATATTTAGGATCTCTGTCGCAGATAGTTGAAGAACTGTGCTGGTACTTGCAAAAAATGCACATCTTGATCTTCTGGTTGCTTATCGATGTATCTTTCATTGTTGTCGCTGAAGATACTTGCGACATGTTCTTACTTTTTACCAACCTTTTAGATGCCATTCTGATAAACGCACAATCGATGCAAAAATGTCACCGTAGTAAGCAAACTGATCGTAACATTAAATAAAATTGGTTCATAGTCCGCTAGTTTCCGCGAAACAATAATGGTCACAAACCTGATTTAATTTACAAACCAGATTTAAAATATTTACGATGTGTAACTCTGGTGAACACGAAACTTTCTGAATCCGCAAAACTTAGTGATACGGTGTGTGGCCGGGCGTAGATAACACACCGGTTTTCATTGGTCGGCAGCTGACCTGTGGCAGCTTACTATGTTAATAGGTTCTGCTCGGGTAAAGACGATGTATACTGTTTTCAGCATGTTTATCTTACTTTGGAAGAAATAAAATGTTTTCATATGATTGAAGTCCGCGTGGTTTCGAATTTCCTTCGGACAAGCTCCCCACTTGGATTGAGCCAAAACGTAGACTTGAAGTTACGCTTTCAACTATCTTGAAATGATTCTGATTCAACTTGAAATGAATCGTAGTCTGCTTGGAATGAACCTTGACGTAGACTTGAGATGTACCTTGGTTTGCACCAGCTTTAACATCTAGGGTTGACAACACTAACGCCACTCAGCTTCATTGAACAATCTGTCAGTTTATTCTGGCCCATTTATTTCACATTTATTTCACTCGCGACACATTCGAACATTAACCATTTGCCCGACATAAAGACGACATCTTCCATTACTACAACCGTCCTCCCTGACTTCTGATGATCGACTGACCACGAGGCTAGCTCGGGCTTCGCCTCACTTACTCCACCGGCCACAAGTATCTCGTGCCGTCACTTGTAGCACGGACTTCCTGCTTGCCACAATGTACTCGTGGAGACCATGCAAAGCAGGGTCATCACATTTAGTAACCACGTGGACATTACAAATAACAAATATAACATTAGCATACTTACGTCCTTTTCAGGACGTAATTTTTTCTTATTTGAAGCCCCACTCTGGCTTTTTCCAGGGGCCGCAATATAGGCAGGCCATCAATATGGCCAATTGTCTGAACGCGGTTTCTGCGACCTCTCCACGGTAATCCTCATCCGCATGGTGGCACTTTGTGTCATCGGGTGTTTGTCGCTTGTGTGATGTCCTGGTGGGGTAGAAAGTCAGTCAGTCAAATAACGAATAAGAAGCCATTATTGTTTCAATATTTTGTCACCACATTGCGATGTCAGCCACAAGGCAAATCTTTGAAAAATTTCAGCATTATAGCTCATCGGGACATAATATAAAAATCGAGCAAAGCAAATACCCCCCCCCCCCCCCCCCCCCCCCCCAAAAAAAAAGCTACAAATTACACAATCACAAGCGAAAAATCCTCTAATGACAACGATTTACCCAAATCCGTTCCCTCCGATATTCTTTAATGTCTACCTTGATTCTATCGTAATCATCATGGTCGTTATCATCATCATTATCATTATCATCATCTGACAGGTCCTTTACATAACATCGCTCACATTACAGCATGTCTGAACTAAACCTAATATCTCCACATATCTTCTGCCTCGTGCACTTTACTTCTCAATCTGTCACTTATGCTCTGTCCCCATCTTCTTGCAGGTTGATCCCTACCCCTCTTTCAACATTTCTTTGTAATCCGCCGTTACGCTTGATATAGCCAAAATATTTGTTTCCAAAACAAAATATAATTTTCTAGCCAAGCTTCCTTGATGTTCAGATCTCTTACGATTACAATAACACTTTTTTTTGTCACTATACGTTTCTTTGGATAATAATGTGGTAGTTTCTCCTGGCTTTCCACACCCCCAATGGTTTTATAGACTATGCCCTTAGCTTTTAGTAACAGGTGTGCCCTGCTCTCTGATGCTCCGGCTAAACGCAGAGGGCACCACATCGGTGTCCACTTAGCTCTGTGGATACTCTGTCCCCATAGCTGCGTTGGCCACATCACTGTGTGTTTACCATCCGTTACCGCGTAGAGGTTCAGCTGGGTTTTCCCTTGACAGAGTCTTGAGACCAGAATGACGTTTCCCAAAACTCCCTAGTAACTTTATTTGTTTTGCTTATTAAAAAAAAATTCGTTTATCTTTGTATAAAATTATACATTTTTTATCACACGTGAGAAGTAATTCATCATGTACACTTTCTCACAAACGATCACCTGCCTTCCCCACCTCTGTGTTTTCCGCTTATCACAGTGAGACACGAAGAAAGAAAGAATATAACACACACCACTGTCCCACGTACGTTGATAACATATACAATACAGATTTAGTAAGAAAGGTCTGCCCGTATCATGTTTCAGTTTGTATATGTGTTTATTAAAAATAGTGCTTAATGCATAGTTGTTTTTTTAAAGTTCTTAAAGAACTTTCTGAGGTCGATCCAGCCAGTGTAAAACTGTCCAGCTTGCGAAAATTTTGGATCTTAAGATGATTCTGAAAAAAAAAAATGAACCATAAAAATACTTGTAGTCCATGAAGATGTATACAGTATACAGTAACAGAGGACGACGGGTTTAACAGATTCTAATTATGGACAAGGTGGCGGACAAAGATACCATCCTAACCTAAACAACCTGAGGTGGCGGCACGTGCTCTAGTACCATTTATTTCCTTGGAGTCATGAGATCCGAAGACCTAAGTGCTGATAGCCGACCAGTAGGACGTGAAGGTTTGACACCATGAGATTAAAGAATCTCAGTGCTGATGGTCGACTGATAGAACGTAAAGGTTTGACGCCGTGAGATTAAAGATCTCAGTTCCCATGGTCGACCAATAGGAAGTAAAGGTTTGACACTGTGAGATTAAAGAATCTGATTGCAGACTACAAGGGCAAGCTCGATATCCCCTTCAACCTCCACTGAAATTTTAATAAGCACATCTGTGACAGCCACAACAGTTTTGTGTAAATACAATCCTGTGCGGATAGGGATTGTCACGGCTGAACCAGTCATGCCGCCCTAAATTCTTAGGCTCAAGGACTCCACCCATATCTTTTTTTTTCACCCTTTCCTCCCCCTGTCCTACATCAATAAAGAAAGGTGGCAGATACATGCAGTAACGACATTTGTTTCTAAACACATTAATAACAGCCTAGCACAGAAGATAGTCTGATACATTAATAGAAAATAGTAGTTTACTGAAATGGAAGATTATCTCATACATTTATAGAAAATAGTACTTTACATTAGGAATTGTCTGCATCAGAAGGAGGATGTATAAGTAAATATATTGTGTCCAACAAGCCGCTGTGCAAAGATGAAATAATACCGAGGTTCTGACATTCAATATTAGGTTATTTTAACATTCGTTGAGTTGGATTTGGAGTTCGTCCAGACAATACTGCGAAATCGTTGAACATTTATTCACATTGACTAAATATAAAACTCTTAAATGATGCGGCGTACAATTTATTTCGAACTTGGCTGCACTGCGACTCTTTGAAACACCAAATATGAAACACTAATTCTTATTATTACCTGTCTGAGACAACAAGAAATCATACATACTTTAGGTGGAGCTATTTGTAATGGAGCCCTTTGTTGTCTGATCAAAAGTTCATGGAAATGCCTAAAGTGATGCGTTGTTAATGTTTACTTATTAACTCTCAGAACGCAATGAGCTACAGTAACATCTACATCTAAGAGTGTCAGCATAACAATAGTTTCATTATGTTGTTAATTCCTAACAGACAGGATTATAGTTCAGCTTCGTTGTATTTCACTTGCGTGTTTTTTTAATGCTAATTTTAATGGCAGTTTATTACATTATGGCACCCGTGGTAGTATAGTAGCTAGACACCCACCTGCCGGCCCTAAGTCCTGGGTTCAAATCCGCACCGAGGCAGATTTTGTTTTTTCAGAGCTGACTGTAAGTGGCTTTCATATCGTCAAAGCCTAACGTCAGTAACAGGTAATATTCATGTATGTTTGTATACAACATAGCTTTATGTCTATGTTATCAGCAGTTAGTATATCCCATAATTTTCAAGTATAAGCCGATGAACTTCAGAAGTACCCAAGAAATTAACAACAAAACAATCAACAAAAACAACAAAACAAAAGCGATAAATAATATTAGTGAATACATCACACCGCGCACACACACACACACACACACACTATATTTGAAGTCTGAGTGTCCATGCATACATTTCAAAAAAGGTCGAAAATAGAAACAAGCGGATATAACGATAACCCTAAAACTGTTGACGAAATGACCACACAGCACACGTAAGTTACCTGGAACAAAAGAAGCGGAGAAACCAACCTTCTGCCTAGACTCATCACTGACAAATTTAACGTACATGGTGTTACCACTTGACTTGATTGGTTTTGGCTTTCTATTTCCACAGTGCTTGCCAAGCAAAGGTGATGCCTCTGTTGGTCCATCGTAGACTGCTACGTAATCGTATGTACAGTTTCTGTGCTTTTGGACCTAATGAAATAAAATAAAAAGAAAACAGATAAAGACAAATTAAAAGCTCTGAAAATTAAAAAAAAAAAAAAATGCGGAATTCTCACAAGACCACCTAAATCAAATTAAAAACAAAGGGGGCGAAAATAATATGCAAATAAACACTACGAAGACAAAGAAAATTGTGATAGGAAGAACAAAAGACAATTTAGAAATAAAATTAAAAAACGTCTTAGGACAAACAGATAAATTCCAGTATTTGGCAGCAATTTTCACATCCAATAAAAATTTCTCTGGACAGAGAAATTAGCTCGAGATTGCAAAAACCAATCAAGTAATGGGGCAACTATCTCCCCTATTTACTTGCAAAGCAGATAACCCGGAGAACTAATGAACCTTATCAGAACTATTTTTTAGCCAATACTATGCTATCAGTGCCAAACGTGGACACTTAAATCCTCTAATGAACGTACAACTATGACATCAGAGATTAAATGCCTTACAAGAGCTGCAGGGAAGACAGATGATGCTAGGAATATAGCCAATCTTACAGGTCATAAAAAAAAAAAAGAAGTAGTGTGGACACCTAGCAAGAATACCCTGGTCGATCACACCATGCATCAAGCGACGATTAGTCTATAAAATGCAGGGCTAGCTCTATATATCTAGTACGGTTGGAGGCGTAAAATAGGGTCTTTTAAGTTACGTTTACACCGGCGCCGTATAATGCATTTGGGAGTTGTCGGCGACGAGTTGCAATTTTTAGACAAGCATTGGATTTAGATTGTCAGAGCTGGAGTCGATTATAAAGGCATCGTTCCAACCAGGAACAATTGCGAATCGTTTGTGGGATAGAGATAAGGGTCCTGCGATCATAAACGCATTTATTACTTTACACATTTTGTGCGAAATTAGTTAAGGGGTACATTTCTAGTCTTTGACAAATGTAGAGATCCTCACATTTTAGTTTATCTCTGCAACATCCTTCATCAACTCATGAAGATACAGAAATGTGACTAACACTTCCTGCTTCTTTCTCTAGTCCATGTCGTGTCGTATGACGGTGGTAGTCATTTATACCCACAACTGTCTTATGTACTTTATATCAGTTCTGAAACCAATGATTTTTCCATACGATATAAAACTACCCAGTAGCTTATTTCTCGGTTTTCATGTGCCTGTTTCCCTTTGCAACTTAATTACCGTCACTGTGTACTCCAGCTTTTTCCTTCTCATGATAAAAGAATGTTGTATGTCTCCTTCAGATATGGGCAATCAGTTCTATTGGTAAGTTCTGCTTTAGCTCACTTGATGTATAAACTTTTCAAAATGTGACAAAGCCTGTATCACAGGTCACAATATTATAGAAAGTTACTTACATTGCATATGAGGAAAGGAAAAACAGCCGGACCAGATAGAATTACAATAGAGGAAATAGAAGTACTCGGAGAATTTGAAGTTTATATATTTACTAAACTGGTGCCATGTTTGCGCAGTCGATAGGAGATATTCGCTTCAATATCTACACGCGACTCGCTGCAGTCTGTGTTCGAAAACGTGCGGTTCCCGAGTTTTACGCAGCCTCTATGAAATTGATACTAGAGTTGACTCTCTGGGGTAAACGGAGGAACGTCGTTGTAGATACGGAGTGTCGAGCGGACGGCGAAACAGGCGGAGAGTTTCTTTTCAGCTGTCCCTACTTGTAGCAGAACACTTATGGTTTATAACCGTAAAATGACGCTGGTTCACATCTCCCGACTTTACTTTTTTAACTTTTACTTTAACTAAACTGTTGAATGATATTTACAAAAGTGGAGATATGCCTAATGATATGTTAAAGTCTGTATTTATAGCACTATCTAAAAGATCCAGGAGCAATTCAGTATAATAAATTCCGTAGAATCAATCTCTAAACCATATTACCTAACTGTTATTGAGAATTATATTGAGTAGAACAAGTAAAAAACACAGAAGTTATTGAAGAGAGCTGTGGTTTTGTAGAAAAGAAAAGGTACAAATAATGCAATATACACATTGCGAACATTAGAAGATAGTTAAATAGAGAAACAGAAAGACATATACTTATGTTTCATAGTTAACACCAAAGCTTTTGATAAAATGGAACTTGAGGAAGTGATCCAATTGTTGCAGGATATTTCCACATTGGTGGAAAATATCTAAAAAATGAAATGCACTGGAAGCGAGAAGCAGCAATTAAATTAGAAAATAAAGTAGGAGGTTCTGAACAGATAAAGCAATTAGTCAAGGTTGTGTTTTGTCACCGGATCTCTTCTCCCTCTACAGTGAAAAATATTGAGGGAGGTCAATGATAGACCAGGAATACTAGCTGGAGGTTTTTCTATAAAGTCTTCGTTTTGCAGATGCTACAGTATTAATAGCTGAAAGCGAACAAGACCTACAACAACTATTAGACATTGCTGCTCTCTGCTAGAGAGTGCAAAAATGGGACTTACCTTGAATGTCAAGAAAACGAGACATGGCAATAGAAGGGAAAATGCTTAATGTAGTAAATAAATTCAAGTATTTGAGGCCATTCATAACATCAGACAGACTATATGTGACAGAAATTAAGACCCCGATTGGCCAGGACAAGGCAGCATTTCATAAAATTAAATGTATATTAATAAATCAATCTCCCTAGACATAAAAATACAAGGACTGAAATGTTATATCGAGCCTGTTCTGTTGTATGACAGAGAACTAAAAAAAAAAAAATAATGAAAAAAAAAAAAAACTGAAAAAAGCTTGACGGCAGCGGAGATGTGGTTCTTAAGAAGATTGTTGCAAATGCCTTGGACTGCCAGAATAGCTAACAGGGATTGCTTGGAAGTAGCTAATGAAAGTATAATATTTTATGCAACAATTAGAAATATGCAATGTTCTTTGGTCATGTAATTAGAAAAAGAGTACTGGAGGATACCGTGACGACTGGAAATATAACTGGTAGAAGAAGGAGAGGCAGACCAAGAGACATGACGGTGAATGGCTTAGGGCAGTGGCATGGAGGAATATCATCAGTGGAATTGATCCAGAACACCAAAGACCGAGATCTGTAGAGATGCATGAACGCCTACACCAGCTGACAAAGCTCTTGATGATGATGACTAACACTGCGTCATGCCTCACAATATATTGACATGTGATAAATATTGCTTCACATCTCATTTAATATAGAAATGTGACTAAAATTGCGTCATAGCTAGCAAAATATAGACACTGACAAATATTGCCTCAAAACTCACACGATTTAGACAGTTGACTAACATTGTTTCATGCTCTCAGAATTTAAAAATATGACTAACACTGCGTCATAATTCACTTGCTATAGGAATGGGACAAGCACTGCGTGATGCCTCAGAAGAAAAATAGAAGTGGGAAAAACCCTGCATCATGCCTTAGAAGATGTCGAGATCGTGCAAACACTACATCATGACTCAGAAAATATAGAAAAGAGACAAACACTGTGTCATGACTCAGAAGATATAGAAAAGAGACAAACACTGTGTCATGACTCAGAAAATATAGAAAAGAGACAAACACTGTGTCATGACTCAGAAGGTATAGAAAAGAGACAAACACTGTGTCATGACTCAGAAGATATAGAAAAGAGACAAACACTGTGTCATGACTCAGAAGATATAGAAAAGATGCAAAAACTGTGTCATGACTCAGAAGATAAAGAAAAGAAAAAAACACTGTGTCATGACTCAGAAAATATAGAAAAGAGACAAACACTGGCGTCATGTATTTGAAGATATAGAAATGTGGCTGACACTGTCCCACGCTCACTTTAAACGGCCCCTAGACCTATATCGCGATTGTCCAGATTAGAAAATATATGGAAACATTACTATGTTAAAACTGGGCCTAACCTTAAAGTATTTAAATCGGAGAACCACAATGAACTCTTCTTTTACTGTAATCTTCCAAGAGCATTTCTTCCCAGGAGGATATTCAGCAGGATAGTTGGGGCTGGTGATCATTCCAGAATCAACAAATTCACCTCCACAAACAGCTGTGGAGTATAAAAAGTAACTTATTAGACATGGCCTAAATATTTTTTTCTTAAAATTCCTTCAATATTATCATTTCTTCATCAACACATCCATGCATGCATCAATCCACCCCTCCATCAAACAATAATTAGTGTTGTATCATTATTGCTTATTATTAATACAATTAATTATAAACAGCACTGTTCGTCCGAAATATAAAAATAATTTATAGTTAACCATCCCGGTCAGTCCACCAAGTGTATACGAGTGGAGTAGGAGGTTTCAAAACGGCTTGACTTCTATGACAGGCTGTTCACGACAGCGTCATGTACACCAAGTAGTGACCACAGAGTCGACACAGGAGTGGTATTTCCACATGTCTCAGAACTTCATTCGTCGATACATTTTTTTTAACCCCCCCCCCCCCCGCCCCGTTTACCTTCGCCTCGCCCCTCCCCACAGAAAATAGAAAAGTGCTTTTATTGGGTTATGTCAAAAGTGAGGTCGCCATCTTCAAACTGTTCTTTTGACGTCACCATGTTCGTCTGCACCGTGATGTCACATGCTTAAAACTCTTGACATCCTTAACAACAATATTGGCAGGTTACGAGACAATTGCATGGCTATTGTAATTTCTATGACACTTTTAGGGATCTCAGTTAAAGTCCACTCGTACGTAGGAAACATTCAGTGCCACAGTGACAAAGCATAAAGAAGGCGGACAATGCAAAAACACGCAGGTTGGTAAGTGTGGTAGGTTTTCAATTCCTTTGAATAAACTGTCGTTGCGACAACACTTTTGCCTTGTTTGGTCAGTTTTCTAAAGAGTTGGATGTGAAGAATGAGATGGTAAACGAAAAAATATGAATTTGTAATATCGGTATTTAACAATGTGACTGACACATGCATTGTCGGTTCTAAAGTATAAAAGATAATTAAATGTTAAGCATAATGTCAGTGTTGGTTTTACTGGTATAATTTACATCCTTTAAATGTTGATCCTGGAGGAGACAAACTACAGACAACAAACAAAATGCTTTCGCGGCTCTAGTCTCATGCAAGGATGTAGGGAGATTCTTCTTTGTAGCTTTTACTGACTGTTTTTCGTGCTCTTATGAACATTATTCGTGTTCCAAAACTTCAGTTTTGTGTGTACATCCGTTTTACAGATCTAGCGTATTTGTATGCATACTGCTGGTTCCTTGCCTCTCAGGCACATGCATTCGACTTCGAATGAAACCTCTAATTAGTCGACACTGACAACATGCTTGCTGGGGAGGCAATAGCTCTATCAACACCCCCCCCCCTTTTTTGAGTTGAGTTAAGAATTAGCATCACATCACTTGGGGCATTCCCATGAGTGCTCCGTCCGCATCTTTAGCAGCCAACGCAGAGTTCCAATACTGATGGTACCTGTCACAATCTGGTTATATGTCAATCTTGCCTTTCCTAAGAGTGTAGTGGACCGGCCAGACCCTCATTCTCTCCAGACCATAATAATCTTGTTTCTCTACCGATTCCATTGCTTGTACCCAAAGGGCTTTGACCACATTTTCCTAGTCATGTATCAATTCACCACCCAGTGGTGCAGACCCAGCCAATCTTTCTGCTTGTTCATTACATACTACGCCCGCATTGCTTGATGTTGTGATGACGTATTCTAGGCTGTCTTGCACTAAAGATTTTCGATTGGCTTTCGATACGAACTCCCAGGCACTTCTCTTTCTTCTCAATACCGAACCGTCTGTATAGATAATCAGATCACCTGGGCGTTAATTGTCGTGAATCAATTGTTTGACTTCCACCTCTGTAGCACACACTGGCCACTCTCTGAACTTCCTGCCTATTGTGATCATAACCCTACACAGTTCAGACTTTTCCTTTGGTGCTCTGACCCACTCCACTCCTCCCACAATGTTTTCCAGCATGTATACCTGTCTTATTGTGTCTTCTGCTTGAGCTATCCACGATTTTCCCCTTTTCATCCTCTGACCCTTAACTGCTGCCAGAGCTTCACACAGAGTGTGTTCTTTGTCTGCAGCTACTCTGATGTATGATTTAGCCAGCAGCACCGTTAGCCCATCTGCAATGTAAGGATGTATCGCATGCACACAATCGGGGTGTCTCTTGTACATTCCAGGATCACCCGCATAGCTTCATTCTGTATGCACTCCAATTTCTAGCTGATTCTTAAAAACAGCGAGTAACCCCAATCCATAATCAGTCACTGAGATAATTAAGTGCTGGTAAAGCGTGAAAAGCATTCTCTGCTCCATGTCCATCGCTGCCATAATCTTTAGTGCATTAAGACCTTTTTGAGCCTTTGTCACGTTAATTAAAAGAGATCTGTGGAACCATTTGCCGCAGATGTAACCGTAAACTTTTGAACTGCAGCCAGACTGACAAAGCACATTTTTTAAACGTCTACTCATCACCTTGAGGGAGTTCTTAGTTTACTTAAAATGTACAGACAGACACACAGACAAATGGATTTTCAGTTTTACAGTATAGATGTACCTGACGACATTAAAAGAGTAGCTTACTATTTTTAAGAAGAAGCTTAGCATATGAAAAGAAGCACATTAAAGACATGCAATGGCAACCAATAACCCACTGCGTTCTGCGTGGGTTTGTATCCTGGTATGGGACGTGGCAGGTTGACCCAGCCTCAGATGGGTACCAGGATGGCTGTCCTGGGAAAGTAGAGGCGGCCGGCGTAATTCTGACCACATTACCGACCGAGTGCCGATTGGTCTGTAAAAATATGGGTGCTCTTCCCATATGCCCGATGCGCCTAAAGGCATGAAAAGGGATCTTTACATTACTTTACATTTTTTTTTTTTTTTTTACTAATGGCAACAATTGTTTTAATATCCTTTGCTCAGATTCTGAAATACTACTTTTAAAGCTAGCGGGTCTTTCTAGTCACATTGGTCGTTGCTATGGGCTGTGATTCCTATGCCTTCCTACAGCAGAATATAAGAGTACGGCCAGGGATAGATAACAATAATGTTATTCTCACATCCTCTACTTCATCCTTGTCTCCATCGCTGTCATAAGTTCAGTCAATACTTAAAGTATTACGAGTGATTTAATCGTCTGGAAAGACCAGTAGTCTCCAGATCTTTTCAGATGACACCGCCGTCCCCCTCTACTTTGGGTATATGGAAAACTCCTAACGCGCCCTTCCCACTACCAAAATAAAAAAATGTTGATAGAAAAACAAAATCCCAAGCAGTGTTAACAGCTTAGAGTAAAACATCGACATAAGTTTAGTTTGCAAATCACAAAAGAAACAATCACCAGCAACTGGTAATTTAGTGTCCAGATATCAAGAGTATGGTTGACTCTGGTTAACCTCTATTTGTCTGTCTGATGTTGAGCGAAGTACAACGGAGATCACTCTCCACATCAAGATAGCAAATATATTTTTTTTTCATAACAGTTATAGCTGAAAATCCGGATTATTATAAGTACTTATTAACATAATTTGAAAACTGCTTAACACCCCCTCCCCCTTCCCCCCCACCTTGAAACTTCCTCATGCTCAGTAAGATAGCGGGCCCCATTCCCTCCTCCTGAGGTTAAAGACCACTGAAAAAAAAAAAAAAAAAACGGAAAGGTGCAAACAACAGTACTGGAAGATATAGCGAAGAGTGCAATACAGTCAATAGGTGACCATATTATGCACTTCATTACTGAAATAGGAAATACTCCCACCTTCGTAAGAAGCGGCAAATCCGTTATAACCACCATTTTGTGTTGTGTAGTTTACCCACATCCGTGTTCCTGTTGATATCAAGGTATCTGGTATCTGATCACCACAAAAACGTCCTGAAATGCAATGTATTTATTTTGATTCTCTTGGCAGTTTAGTTTCTATTTATTGGTAACATAAATAAAATAATCTTTGCCGATGATCAGGACCTGAAAGCAGATAAAGACATGAAATGACACATCTGACATCCATGAATGAAAAATTATAAATAAATGATATTAGAGTCAACACTGAAAAGACAGAAGTAATGTTAACTGGAAGAAACAAACATAGCTTATCAAAAGTTTATAGTGGAAAAGGTTTAGAGAAGATGGTTCCGGGATCCGTCAGAATCGTGGGCTTTCAAGACAAGAACTAAACGGAAAGTCTTCAAAGAAGATAAATGAGTCTTTGCTTCTACCACCAGAGCATGACATTAGAAGTTATGGGTGTGACAAGGAACTAGAATGGCTGACTGAAAACACAGGAGACTCAATAAGCATGCTACTGAAGATCAAGACCGGCACATACGGTAAAAGTGGCTCCATCTGATACAACACGCAGGGTTTCGTAAAATCACCTTCATTTTACCCCCAATTATGCTGGCGTGAAAGGCAATGAGAGAGCAGATATCATGGCTGGCAATGAGACTATTAGGAATGGGCCGTCTAGAGACAGGAGAGACATCATCACTTATGTACAAAAAAAAAAAAAAAAAAAATGAAAAACGTTGTCGAGCTTGCAGTTTCGTAGAAAATGATTTTTCACTGGGTGTACCAACAGGAGCTTCGAGGCAAGAAAACAAGGCGGGAGCTATCCGTCGTTATTCAACCAGAAGATAATGGGAGTTGTCATTGTCAACCTAAAAACACTTGTAGACAAACTCAGGAGTAGATCGGTGCACTAAAGGTCATGTCCGATGTGCAACGAAGAAGACTTTAAAATTAACAAATAACAATGAAGGTATTTAACATTCAATTGTGTTTTATGTATGTATATATATATATATATATATATATATATATATATATATATATATATATATATATATATATATTTATTTATATATATGGGAATACAATTCACCGAAGTTGGCAAATTAGTTGAAGCAATTACTATCCGATGCAATAAAGTATTGGGACAGCTGGCCCTAGTCCAAGTAATTTCTTTTTGTTTTTTTTTGTTTTTGTTCATTTGATAACTGATCCCTGCCACTCCCCCCTCCCTCCCCCCCCCCCCAATCAGTTCTTCATTAGCAACTAT